AAGAAAGCACGACGTCGGGGGTCTGGGTTACGGGGCTTCGCCGTGCGAGAGGCTGGGGCAGGGCTCGGGACGTCGATGCTCGGGGACTGGGGCCTGTTCGGCGTTCCGCTCCGATGCGTGGAGGGCCAGAGCCAGTCGGACCGTAACGGACATGGCCCCGTCCTGGGCAGAGGGGGTCCGGACCTCTTGGGGTCCACGTCGTGAACAGGGTCCGGGCCAAGCGCATGCTGACATGGATTGCGGATCCGCGGGCGCCAAAGAGGAGGAGGAGGAGGAGGAGGAGGAGGAGGAGGAGGAAGAGGAGGTGGAGGAGGAGGAGGAGGAGGAGGAGGAGGAGGAGGAGGAAGAGTGGGGCGCCAGATCTAGGTACGCATCTGGGAAGGTCCCCCCCCCGGAAACGCGAGGCCTGCGCAGGGTCTCTGGTTTGGCGACAGAGCGCGCCGATGCCGCACGGGGAAGCGGGGGGGCCCGCGGCTCCTCCCCGCGCCCGGCCCCTCATCCTCTCGCGAGCACCTGGAGAGGGGCAAAATTCGCACATCGACTTAGCAGCGCGGGGGGCTTCTATCGGGGAGGCGTGATAGGGGAACAACATGTGACGTAAACATAAGCAAAATCCCACCAGCCCTTTGGGCGTGAGTGGTTTAGAGAGCCCGCTCTGTCCTCAACCCCCCTTCTTCCCCTTCGGGGAGGGGTTTACCCCTCCCCCTACCCCCTCCCCCTGGGCCTGGAGAGGGAGTCCCGAGCGTCGTCAGGGGGGGTCTTTTTCGACTCCTGGGAGGGCTAAAAAACGACGACCCTCACGAGGATTCTGGCCCCGAGGGGGGGGGGGAGTTTGGCCCCTCAGCTCGTCTTTGAAGCCAAAATCATTGATTTTACTAGGGTTTTGGGCGCATTTTGGCCTTCTGAGGGGGCCGCGCTCATCGTCCTTCATAGCAAAATCATTGATTTTACGAAGGTTTTGGGTTCATTTTGTCCTTCTCAGGGGGCAGCGCTCATTTGCGCTTCTGAGGAGGTCGCAGGAGGCCCCAAGATGGCCCCAAGAGGCCCCCAGGAGGCTCCCAAGAGGCCTCCAAGAGGCCCCCAAGAGGCCCCCAAGAGGCCCCAAGAGGCCCCCAAGAGGCCCCCAAGAGGCCCCAAGAGGCCCCAAGAGGCCCCAAGAGGCCCCCAAGAGGCCCCCAAGAGGCCCCCAAGAGGCCCCAAGAGGCTCCAAGAGGCCCCCAAGAGGCCCCACGAGGAGCCCGAACGACTCACACCAGGACGAGGGGCCCGAACGACTCACACCACGAAGAGCCCGAACGACTCACACCACAAGGAGGGGCCCGAACGACTCACACCAGGACGAGGCGCCCGAACGACTCACACCACGAGGAGCCCGAACGACTCACACCACGACGCGGGCCCCGAACGACTCACACCACGAGGAGCCCGAACGAGTCACACCAGGAGGAGGGGCCCGAACGACTCACACCAGGACGAGGGGCCCGAACAACTCACACCACGAGAAGCCCGAACGACTCACACCAGGACGAAGAGCCCGAACGACTCACACCACGAAGAGCCCGAACGACTCACACCAGGAAGAAGGGCCCGAACGACTCACACCAGGACGAGAAACCCCAAACGACTCAAACCACGAGGAGCGCTTTCTCTCCCTCCTCCTCCGCCTCGTCCTTCTCCCGCTCCCCCCACAAGGAGGATGTACAAGGAGGCGGGAGGAAGGAGGAATAGGGGAGATATGCGGGGCCAAGCGGACACACGCCTGAAAAACACGACTGTCGGCATGCTTCGCAAGAGTTGCTGCTGTGAGATGGGCTGGTGGGGATACGCGAAGCGTAAAGAATTTTGGAGGTCCGCGCGGATTTCTCGGATCGGCGCTGGACCCCCCGGGGCGGCGTCGGAGGCGGCGCCGGGGGGTCCCAGCGCCGATCCGAGGCATCCGCGCGGAGTTTTTTATGTTTATGCCACTTTCTGTTCCCCCTACGCAAGACTCGGGTACGGGGGACTCGGGTTGGCCTGAAGGGGCCACCATGAAAGTGACGAGACCCAATCTGAAACTTGACGCGAGCTCCCGCTGCAAGCATCCCACGAAAACCGGACCGTCAAAATCCAGCGGTGGCGGCAGTGGCGTCGACAGCGGCGCCCGCCGCGGCCGGCCACGCGGGCGGCGGCGGCCGCAGCGGCGCCTGCGGTGCGGCCATCGCCGCCGCGGCGGCACGCCGCCGATGCCGCGCAGGGCGGCCGCGCCCCCGGCAGCGGGGCGGGCACGCGGCGCCGCGCGGACCATTCGGCGGGAGGTGCCCGCTCGGAAAATTGCCCCGCTGAAAATTTGCCTGCGGCGCCGCAGGGTGTTTTGCCCACACGGGAGCAGTCCCCGCGGCCATGCTTGGCTGATGCATCCGCTGGCGTGCCGTGGGCTGGTCGCAGCGAGGAGCACCAAGCATGCAGCAACGCCTCGGAGATCCGCAGGCGTCCAAGGAAGAGTTGCAGGTGTCCAGCACCACGGCAGGCAGCAAGAAGGGCGAGAACGACGTCGTGATGCGATCGGCTCAGGATCCCAGGAGCTCGAGAAGCAGTGATGCGATCGGCTCAGGATCCCAGGAGCTCGAGGGGGCATATCTGGGAGCCTGCGTGGGGCACATTATAAAACAAACGGTAATATTTTTTTTAGTTGTTGAAGCTCCGGGTGATTTTCTTGTCTCGGCGCTGGGCCCCATTCCTGGCGCGCAGAGCGCGCCAGGGGCGGCGCTTGAGGCGCTGCCAGAAGGGCCAAGCGACGATTCGAGAAATCCGCGCGGAGCTACGACAGTTTCTGATGATGCAGTTTTTCTTGCTGGGCGTGTGGAACATCAGGAAGTCTTGGGGATCCTTCGGATTTTGGAACGTATCAGTAGCATGATCTTTTTGGAGGCCTCCCAGATGCGGTCCGAGTTGCTGGGGTCGGAGGATCGCGCCGCATCGCCGATGCATCGTCGACGTCGGCGGTGCATCGGCGACTTCGGCGTGGATGACATCGGGTTCCACATCGGCATCGGCGATGCGGAGCGATCCTTCGGCCCAATCGCCTCGGCCCCCAATCTGGGAACCCCATGAGCATCGTTTAGCCGATCCCTATCCCCACTGGCGTGGCCCGGGCCCCGCTGGCCGATTCACCCCCCCAGATGGAGATATGGGCTGCTCCCTCGGGGTTTCGAGGTGGCATGTCCCCGACTGGGGTGGTGGGGTGGTGGGGGTCGGAGGATTGCAAAAAAACCAAGGATTGCAAAAAAACCCTTTAACGAAGGATTGCAAAAAACCTCTATGAACGAAGGATTGCAAAAAAAACATCCTTCGGACAAGGATTGATGAAACGGTACTCAGCCTGGGCTCCTGCTCCTCCGAGGCAGGGGGCTGGGCGCAGAGAGCGGAGGCCGCGCGGCCCGCGCGCAGGCCTGCGCGCGAGCCGCGGCCCCCTCTCCCGCTGCCGCTCCTGCCGCTGCCGCTCCACTTGGACGTGGGTTAGGGTTAGGTCGGGCATGTCCTTCTACAGGCGGGTTTTGGACGAAAAAGAAAAAGTTCGCAACACATGCTCCAACATAGGCAGAAAGAGCCCCAACAGATCGTCCCCATACTACTTCTGGACTGTTCTTGAAGATTCCCCCTGTAGAGGGACATGCCCGACTGAAGGTCAGGGTCAAGCGCTAACGTTAGGTCGGGCATGTCCCCCTACAGGCGGATTTTGGGCGAAACATGAAACATAGGCACCAAAAACAAAGTTGCCAACAAAATACTCAAAACATCATCCCCAGACTATTTTATGACTATTATTGAATATTCCTCCTGTAGGGGGACGTGCCCGACTTAACGCTAACTCTCAGGCGGCAGCGGGGCCGAACGAGGGCCCGCACCAAGAGGCGAACGAGCGAGAGCCAGAGCAGACGGCCCCGACGGCGGAGGCACTGCGACCGAGCGCGCAGAACCGAGGCCCGACGGCCCGCAGGGATCGCCAAGCAGGGCAGCAATCCCAGACATGCGACGTTGATTTTTTCAATGCAGTGGGGGCGCGCATCAGGAAACCGTATGCTTTTCGTCAGGATATCCTGGGTTTCTTCGCTCCGCGCGCACCGCGGCAACTTCCTGCAGCCGTTGGAGAAGCTGCTGCGTTCAGGGTGCTCCGGCCTCCCCTCAGGTGCACCTTGCGCCAAGGTTTTCAGGGTTGGGTTTCTTGCGAAGGTTTCTTGCGGCCGCGCCCGCACTGTACGGGGCCCCTGGAAGTCCCGACCCTTTCCCCGGGACCGGTTTTTCATCCCGAGTCGCTTTTTGACGGTCCCGAGGCTCGGCGAGGGCCCCCCGGGGCCGAGAACGGCCAGAAGCCTCCCGCCCTGATTTTCATACGACGCGATCCTGCCTGGGATTCGCAGGTGCAGCCTGAGCCCCTTGCTTAGCCCTGCGGCGGCCACGGGCCGCGGAATCTTTGCCTTCGTCCTCAGGCTAGGGCGCGACCCCCACCTCGCAGCCAGGAGGAGGAGGAGGAGGAGGAGGAGGAGGAGGAGGAGGAGGTGGAGGAGGTGGAGGAGGAGGAGGAGGGGGAGGAGGAGGCGCCAGGCGCGACGCGTGCCTTGCAGCCATAGGGCCCGAGGCTGCCCCGCCATAGCCCATAGCGCGCTTCCACGCCGAGAAGATCTCGGTTGCGTGTCAATGGCAGCAACGGCACTCATCGGGTTGGGAGGAAGCGGGGCTGGGAGAAGTGGTCAGGTCATCCGCATGACCGCGTATGCGGAGTGTACCTGCTGCACAGTCGTGCCCTGCATCTTCCCAGCCCGCTCCTCCCAACCCGATCGTCGTCTTTCTGAAAGGGGGGGTGACAAGAATGGGGTGAAGAGAAGGACCCTAAACGGGGCCCTTTGGGGCTCCTTTCGGGCCCCTGATGGCTCCAAAATGGGCCGTAAAGGGCCCCCTTAGGGTCCTCTTCTTCACCCCTCACCCCCCCTTCAGGTCCCATCACCGCCCCGCCCGAAGATCCTCGGAAACTCTGCGAGCCCGACCTGGCCAAGGCCGTCGAGCTCAACGAGCCTGGCATCCCGGAGGCGTGGACGCGAGCCATGGCCTTGTTGGCATTGGGCATTCGCCGCACGAACGCGGGGCTCACCCCGCCCTCGGGGGGGCCCCAACCGTGAGCGGCGGGCCATCATTGACGCCTACCTGGCCATGCGCATCACCGTGGAACGCGAGATGGGAGTCGAGGGCCCCCGGCCTGAGCGCGACCTCGGGCTCGCCACTCGCCCAGCCGCCCCAGAGTGCCCGCGAGGTCGAAGCACCCCAACAGGAGGAGGGCGCCGCGGCCAGGCCACGCCCGCTGCCGGTGTTGCGGCCTCCTCGGGAGCGCAGGGGCGCCTCGCTGAAGCCCCCTCCGCATCGCAGCAGCGGAGCAAGAGTGAGCCAGCCAACTTCAACGTCTTCTTGGACGTGAGGCCACTCCGGGGCCCTGGCGCAAGCGAGCTCCGGCGTCACGATGGCAGGCGCCCCGCTATCATCGAGAGACAGTGGCCCAGAAGCGACCGGGATCCCCCCGCTTCCTGGAGGAAGCCGGCCGGGCCCTGTCCCAGACCCCCGACGTCATGATTTTTTCATGACGCGACCCCCAGAGGTCCGGGCCGATTCCCCGGGACCGGTTTTTCATCCCGAGTCGTTTTTTGACGGTCCTGAGGGCCGGTAAGGGCCCCCGGAGGCCGAAAATAGCGAAAAACCTCTCGTCATGATTTTTTCATGACTCGAGGGGGTCTGGGGTCGGAGGTGCGCGAGGGCGCCCAGGCGAGCAAGCACTTCGGGGTGATGACGTTCTGCCGCCGCGAGGGCGAGGGCGAGCAAGCACTTCGACGGGATGCGGGGCGAGGGCGAGGATGGGGATCCGCCGTGCGGCTCCTCGGAAAGCGCATCCGTGATCCCGCCCTCGGCCCACGCCATGGCCCGCGAGGGGGCCCCCTCGTGGCGGCTGGGGCGGCGGGGACAGCTGCTGGCAGCTCCGCCTCATGGGGCCACGGAGGGTCACGGGGGCGCAGAAGGCATCTCTACACCACCACCGTGCCAAGCCAGGGCCGTCCTGGCCCCGGCATGGTGTATACGCCCTCCTGGCCGAGGCCAGGAGGGTCCAGGCACCATCCTGGGGCCCAGGCTGGCCCTGGCTTGGCACGGTGGTGGTGCGTGGACGCCTTCGTCGGAAAGAGCGCGCCCCGCCTGGCGCTGTCGGCCAGGAGGGGCGCCGCCCCAGCGCACATGCGGCGGAGCACCTCCGGGAGGTGCAGCGCCTACCCTGCGCGAGGACTGTCGTGTGGCGGGAGGCGAGGTGGGCGTCCAGCAGCTGGCCTCGAAGAGGGGCGTGGCCCGCGCCTTCCAGCGGCACCGCCTCGCCCCGGGGCCGCCCCAGAGTCCGGCGCTGCCCTTCCTGGGGAGCTGCTGGGCGTCAGCGGAAGGGGTCCTCACCCGCGCAGTGCTCGTGTTCGGCTGGGCTGGGCCGCCTGGGAGAGTGCACGCCCGAGGCAGAGCGACGCCATCCACTGCGCCTCCGAGTGGCTGGTGGACGGCGGCGTGGGCCTCGAGCCCTTGGCCGGGGTCGGGCCCGGGCTGTCGGGCGCCGAGCTCGACGCAGCCATAGGGCGCTGCTGGGGGTATACGGGGGCGGTGAACGAGGAGGAGCTGGGCGAGGAGGGCGTGCTCGCCCCGGAGCAGCCCGTGCATGGACTTCGGCGCGAAGGCCGCGCGGCTCCCGGGAGAGCCCGAGCGCGTCAGGGCGCGCCACCTTCTCGCGCTGCCCGGGCTCGCCCCGGGGAGCCGCCGCGTGCCCGCGGAGCTGGTGGCAGAACTCCGGGGAGGCACCCCGCTGTGGAGCGCAGCCCAGCCGGCCATCGGGCCCGAGCTGCCCGTTCTCGACCGCCTCTTGGGCGGAGAGGGGGGGGGCCTGACCTTCCAGAGAGCTATTTTTCAGCAGCACTGGAGGCCGACAGACCCTCCAAACGGAGCGAAATCGCCTAAAACCAAGACGTAGAATAGCTTCGGGATAGGTTTTTACGTCGGCTGCTATTTTTTAGCCCCCCTGGAAGGTCAGGGGGCACTGGGCCAAGCCGCGCGGGGGCCCCGAGGAGGTCGCGCGGGCTTGGCAGGCGCGGGGCGCGACCTCGGAGAGCTCCTCCGCGTCGTGCCCTCGACGCCCCCCAGGGGGCGTGGGGCGTCGACGTTCCGAGGACGGCCTCGGCCAGGCCCTCCGCCCCCGCGAGCTGCTCGCTCTTCCCCGGCGTGGCTCGCACGACGGAGCTCGGGGAACGAGACATGAACGAACGAACGAACGCTGAGTACGGGCCGCGCGCGCGGCCGCGTGCCCTTACGGGCTCAGCGGAAATTGATCGGACCATCTCGTAAGAGGGTGTCCGCGTGCTCTGCGCCCGTCTGGGACCCAGTCGTGGACTCGCCGGGCCCACTGGTCGAAGCTCATATCTTTGAGTCTCTCGCTCCAGCGTTGTAGCCGAGATCTGCGCACCTCTGTCTAGATCGGTGCGTCGTGGTGCTTCATGCTTGAACGAAAAAATACAGAGACATAAAAGCTCGGAGGTCCGCGCGGATTCCTTGGATCCGCGCTGGCGCGCGGAGCGCGCCAGGGGCGGCGCTGGAGGCGGATCCGAGAAGTCCGCGCAGAGCTCCGAGCTTTTATGCTTCTGTCCTTGTTCGTTCCCGCCAGGAGCGGGTCGGGGGCGGCCAAGAGGGGGGTGTCCAAGAGGGGTGTGTGCAAATCATGGCTGGCGGCATGTGCGCGGCCCAGGAGGGGGCCAGGGAACGTATTGAAATAAGAACGACATCTGGGGAAACATCGTGGCCACCGCCATGATATCCACGCCCCCCCTAGCCATCTCCTCCCTCTTTGCCGCCCCCGAGCGGGCCGCGGGCGACGCCACGGTGCCCTCCACCGGGGGCCGTGGACTGGGGGCGGGCGGGGAGCCAGCCCGCCGCCGCCTCGCCACCGACGCGCTGTGCCCTTGCGGGCCCCGCGGGGCGGCGCTCCTCTCGCGTGCCCGCAGGCCGAGGAGGGCGGTGGGCCCTCGCGGTGGTCGAGCTGCTGGCGCGGGTTGCCACGGCAGCCGCCCGCGGGAGCCAGTGGACCTCGGAGCTCGTGTTCGGTCGGGCGTGTCCTCCCACAGGCAGATTTGGGGCGAACGCCAGAAAAGAATCAAAACATGCGCACAAAGTATGCAGAAGTAGTGGACACATCCCCCGAGACTATTTTTTGACTACTTCTGAAGATTCCTCCTGTCGAGGGACAAGCCCGACTGAAAGCTCGTGTTCTACGTAGCCGACAGCTCCAGCGTGAAGGTCTGGCTGACGAAGGGACGCCCCAAGAACGTCCTGGCGCGCCGCCTGGTCGAGAGAGGATGGAGGCGGAGCGCGGGTCCGTCCTCGCGCCGTTCTGCTGTGCGTTCTGCTGTGTGCGCGGACTGGCTCACCAGGGAGGAGGAGGTCAAGACGGTTTATAGCAGATTGGCGTCGGAAAGATGGCACAGGACCGACACTTCGCGGACCCGCCAACTGCTGGTGGCGGGGCGCGGCAAGCAAGGCCGACGCCCGGCGAGCATGACAATGCCGCCGGCTCGGCGAGTCGCCCATGGCCTGAAGCACCTGCTCGAGAAAGGGGGCCAGATGGAGTGACTCGACTCGCGGAAGGAGATCATGCGGCACCCGAAGGTTCGGTCGACGGGCGACCCGCTCCTCCCCAAGCCGGTCGAACATATCAAGATCGGCGACACCAGGCACTTGATCCACGGCACGGATGGGCCAGTCGGCACCATCCGATGGCCAGGTCAAGCGCCCACGGGGCCCGGCGCCAGCATCCTCTACGTCACTGGCAAGAAGGCCAGAAAAGTCCACGTGCTGACCCCTCGGGCGGTCTGGCGAGGTCAGTGGGGCAATGGCGCCACCTGGGACCAGCATCTCGCAGACGGCAAGACAGTGGAGGAGTCATTGCGGGCTGCGGCCCCGGCCACCCCGCCAGAGACCGCCAAGGCCATCCTCAGCGCGGCCGCGGAAAGCCTGTCCGGGCAGGACGGCGCCCGTGCTGGCGTCTGCTGGGGCCCAGAGGAGCAGGCAGCCTGGGAGGCGACCGGGCGCTGGTTCCGACCCTGGACGGTGGCCCCAGAGGGCCCGAGACGGCAACTGAGCAGGGCCGCAGTCGAGGAAGCGCCGACCCTAGCACACCGCACGGACCTCCAAACACTTCACGTTTGCGCTGTCTTTTGGGAGGAACGCCAACTGTTTGGCTTGTTTTTGCTGCTCCGTTTGTACGGCTCCAGCGCAGCGAGGCAGCCCTCAGAGCCTCGGCTCGCCTCGCGCCTCACCCAGTGGGCGCCGAAGCCGACGAACTTCTCGGTGCCGCGCATGGAGAACGAGGACCAGCCGTTGGCTCGGCAGGCCTTCTGGCGGCGCGCACACGAAGGGGGGTATAGGGGGAGTGGGGGAGGCTCCTTAGGAGGCTGCCTCTGCCTCCTAGAAGGCACGGGCCCCTCACGTCTATCGACGTAAGGCAGCCGGGCCTTCTGAGAGGCAGTCTCCTCTTAAGGAGCCTCCCCCCCTCCTTCATACACTAGGGGCCCGACCACAAGAAACCTTCCACAAGAAACCCAACCCTGAAACGCCAGGGCGTCCCTTGGTTTTGGGTGTGGGAGCGTCTCGCTCTCCATCGCAAAACCATCGAGATCCAAGAAACCCAGGGCACCCTGGAGGCAAGCAGGGTGTTTCTTGGCATGGGCCCCCACTGTACCCCCTGTGTGCGAGTCGCCAGGTTGGCTGGGCAGGCCTTGCAGAACTCCGCGTCCTCCCCGTGCGAGACCATGACGGGGGCCGGCCGGCCAGTCGCGGCGGGGCAGAGCACGTCCCTCGCGGAGAGGATGCCGAGCCAGCTGAGCAGCTGGCCGTCGGCGGCGCCGGGCACGCAGCGCGAGGTGGGCCGCCCATCCATGAAGAAGGGGACGTGCGTCGAGGCCATCAGGGCACTGACGAGGTCCTCTCGCTGGGGGAACCTCGTGATGCTGTCCGCGCGGGGGAGCGGCGTGCACCTGTCGGAACCGGGCGAGCCGAGGCCCCAGCGGCCCAGACTCTGACCCCGGACCCCTCTCCCCGGGCCCAGGCGCCCCAGGTTTCCCCAGCTGCGTCCAGCCGTGGCAGCGAGGGGCCCCCCCGAAGGCCAACGACCGTCGCCTCCACGCGCCCTCCTCTGCACCTCGTGACCGCGACGCTGCAGCGGCCGTCGCACCGCGCCGCCGCATCCTCGGGCAGCAGCGCGTCGAGCCACGCGCGGACCAGCCGGCCCCACTTGCCGCAGAGGCCGAGCGGGTTCCGCAGGCAACCCGCGTCCTCGGCGAGCCCGAGGGCGAGCGCATACGCCGCGTGCGGGTCGACGCCGCACTGGGCGAACACGACGGCGAGCGCGCCGGCGGACGCGCCCGACAGAGTGATCTGCTCACCGAGGAAGGAAAGACACATACACGTTACCCTTCGCAGCCCCGCGCGGATTTCTTTGATCTGCGCTGGGCCCCCCCCCTGGCGGCGCCTCTGGCGCCGCCGCTGGCGCGCTCCGCCCGCACAAGGCGCGGGGCCCAGCGCCGATGCAAGACATCCGCGCGGAGCTCCGACAGTGTCTGTGGTTCTGCTGCCTTCTGCTCCTCGAGCTCAGGGAGGTCGTAGGCCTTGACCAGCTCGCACAGGGCCCCGATCTGCCACCAGAAGAAGACGCCGCCGCCGGGGCAGCAGATGGTCACGTGGCGGGGGGCGTCGGCCAGCTGCCGCCGTGCAGCGGCGGCGCCCAGCGCCGCGCGGCGGGCCGCCCAGGCGAACGCCAGCAGGGCGACGAGCAGGAGCACCACCGCAGCGAGAAGCATCGGCCTGGACCTGAGCCAACACGGCCAGGGCCCCCCAGTGCATCCAGTAAGCTCGCACGGCGAGGCAGCGCGGCGCTTTTCCCTCGAGCGGCCGTGGTGGTTTTCACCAATGAGGCTTTGCACTACTGGTCATGGCGAGAGGCTCCCGAGGCACCCAGAGTGGGTCGGAGGGGCGGAATGGTGAAGACCTCGCATGTGGGATCCGACCTTGGAACTTCAATGCAGAAGCGCCTACTACTGTTGCCCCCATTGATCCGCTTTCGTGTTCTCGCCTTGGCGCCAGCTATCTGTTCTTTGAAAGTGAAGCTCACGCTCGAGCGTTTCGGGGGCCAACATCGCCCCCAAACAACATCATTGAAACTCTCTTCGCTCTTCATGGCCCGCGAGTCATTTGGCATGTCTACCCCAAGCCCTCGACTCCCGCCAATTCGTTTATGAAAGCGCCCCCTTGTGTGGGTATTTTTCATGCCAACTAATTGATAGACCCCGTCTTCGGCGCCTCTTGGTTCGTCTTGGGGCCCTCTTGAGGGCCTCTTGGAGCGGTTTTGCAGCGTCGTGGACGCCTCCCCTCCAGAGCCGCCTTGACGGCGGTCAGGGGTCAATCTGGAAAATATGCTTGGGTTGTGGGCCAATGACCTCATACACGTATCTTAGGGTTTTCTTTGGAAATCTTTCGGAGCCCGGTTGGGGGCCTTTTATGGGGGTCTCCGGAGATCTTCCCGGGGGCCTCCTGGGATCTCTTGGGGGCCTCTTTGGGTACTTTTTTGGTCTTCCCAGGGGCATCTTGGGGCCCGTTAGAGGCCAATTGCTGGCCTCGGGGATCATCTTTGGGCGGAGGGCTCGAAAAGGCAGTTCGGCTTCCCCCTCCTCGGCTCATCTTGGGGCTCTCTTGGGCCGTTTTCGGGGCTTCTTGGTCCGTCTTGGGGCCCGGGCCGCCTAGGGACCTCTCGGGGGCCTCGTGGGCAGTCCCGAGGCGGTTTGGGAGACCTCTTGGGTCGTCTTGGGCCGTGCTGAAACCAAGAAGGCTAATTTGCTAAAAAATATGCATTTGTCCCCAAAGGAATGAGACGATCTGTGCTTCTCGTGGCCCTCTTGGAAGTTTTTTTGGAGCGGTCGTGAACGCCTCTGGCTCACCTCTGGGGCCGTTCGACAGGCATCTTTGGCCGTCGGACACCTTTTGAAGGCGTCGTGGTGGTGACCCGGGGCCGTCTTTGGCCGCCGTAACGGCTGCCTGGTGGCTCTCAGAAGCGATTGTGGGCCCCCCGCAGGCGGGCCGGGCCCCTTGGTCGCCCTATTTGCCGTCGGGGTTGCGGCCCCAGCCCGCCCGGGCCTGGTCCCATCTACCCTGACACAGTAAACGTACATGTTCAGATCATACAAACTAGCAAACGATATCACAATACAAACTATTTGCCATACTCTGATTTGAAATACGATCATATATTCACTCATGCCATTCACAGAGTTAACGTCTACTACAAGATGACATACACTAATATACTTTGGCAGGGTATTGAATAGTAGTTGTATCATACTAACACATATATGGTCTGCTATACTACACATTCATATAACGTAATCATATACAATATATGTTCTGCCATTCGGTATGATTGCGTAGCACATAATATATTCTACACCATAATATGATCGCATATAATAATGTCTGATCATCTATGCGATAACGCACGGTGCTACAATATACGGCGATCTCTCATGCTACGCTACAGTTCATAATCACATATTACAATCGGTGGTGATGCAATACATTTAAATAACATATACTGTATCATGCTATCGTGTATTATACTGTTTGGCTTACGATCGTGTAATTCAATACGCTACCGCCTAATACACTCTACTATATTTTAAGTTAGCCTTCTATATCTAATGAAATGTAGTTTAATGCATATGCGATATTGTATTCTAACGTATGTACACGTATACCTGCATGTAGGTATCGCACATGCACAAACGTACACACATACACACACGCATGTATGCATTCATATACACATACAGCCATACATACATACATACATACACATACACATGCACACACATATATGTATGTACACATATATATATATATATATATATATATATATATGTTACACATGTATATGTACATCTGTGTATATTTGTATATATATATATCTATACATATGCCTGCAGCACGTAGTGAAGTGCCCCAAAGCTCATGTAGCCCATAAAAAATCAGAGTTGTAGGGTTTGTTAAAGTTTTACGGGCCAGGTCCACCGGTTTCACAAAGATTTCCAGGTATTTCCTTGCCTCGGGATTCCCTGGGATTTCCGGGGATGCCCCAAGATTTCCCAAGATTCCTGGGGACTCCTGGGGCGTGTCGCGCCCGTCCTTCGGTAGCGCAGCTGGCTAAACATGGGCCCAAAAAGCGCCCCAGAGGGCCGAAGATGCTTCCGAGAAGGCCCAACAATGCTCCAATACGCCCAAGATGGCCCCAACTCGGCCCAAGAGGCCCCGAAGACGTCTCGAGAGTGTTCTAAGATTTGGGCATTCTCGCCTTTTCGGCTTTCCGACACTCCTAGACGGTCCACGAGGCCCCTCCAAACCGCCTCAAAACAGCCCCAGAAGCGCCTTAGAGGGCCCCAACTCGGCCCAAGAGGGCCCCACGACGGTCCGAGGGGCGCCCAGGACGGCCCAAGAGGGCCCAATGACAAACCCAGGAGGGGGCCCAGGTGGGTGGGGGACCCGAACGGGCATTTCGAGCCCTCGGCCCCGAGGGCCCCCCAGCAGGCCCCCAGAGGCCCCGAAGAGGCCCCAGGAGGCGTCCAAGAGGCCCTCAAGAGGCCCCGCAGCTGCTCCCAACAGGCCCCCGAAAGCGCCCTGAACAAAAACATCCCAGACAACTCTGACCCACAACCCAGGCGAGGTGGCGGGATGGGCAAACGGCCACTTTATCTACACATTCACATGCGCATGAACCGACATACATGCTAGAGCCGAACGCGCGCTTCGCGTGCGCTGTGAGGTTCTAGTTTCTCGCCCGGGCAAAACCAACGTCACTTCAATCATCGGATGGGCACGCACACCACTCCACCACGATCACCACATTGGAACACCTGCGCGTCCGTGGGCATACATATCTCAACAACGTCCCCCCGCCTACGCCGGCACATCATTCACATGGATCCTGCCTTCGAAAAACTCCACCAATTGCCCACCGCTCATCTCGGCACACCCCTCACGGGGATCGCGCTTCACAGGGAACTCCACCTACGGCCTCAGGAACAAGATTCGCATAGCGGCACACCCCTCACGTGGATCGTGCTGACCCGCATGCAACTGCACTTGCGGCACCAAAAAGGAAGCTTCGCATCGCCTTGCCCCGCTCAATTCGGCACGCGTCTGTCACACGGATTGTGCCCCACACGGGGCTCCACCTACGGCCCCAAAGACAAGACTCGCATCCCGCCGCCCTCACCTACTTCGGCACAACTCTCGCACAGATCGTTCCCCAAAGAGAACCCCTCCGACGGCCCCAGAGGACAAGGTTCGCATGGACCCCCCCGCCCAATTGAACACACCCTTCACGCGGATCGTGCCCCGTAAAAAACACCACCCGTAGCCCCACAAACAAAATTCGCACGTCGTCCCTCCGCCCATGTCGGCACACCCTTCACGCGAATCGTGCCGTGGAAGGAGCTCCATCTATGGCACCTGGTGGTAACTTCGCATGGCGTCCCCCCGCCCATTTCCGCACGTGCCTCACAATGAACTCCACCTGCGGCCACAATGGGCGGGTTCGCACACGGGGCACTCGGAGTATACGGCATCACCCTCACGCGGATCGTTCACCATGCGGAGTTTAGCGCGCCTGTGCACGCTTGCTCCGAAGCAACGTCCGTATCCGCCCTACACCCCGGGGCGCAGCATTTGAAGAGGGGGCCGCGCCCCGCGTTGCACGTGACTGCACAGGGTTGGCGCATTGCCTAGCTAGGTGGTTGCTTGTCGGAGGCGCCCGCGGCGAATCACCGCCGCGCCCTGTCCTATGGAAACGCCCATGTGGCCAAACGCTTGGCCGAAGCCAGGCCGCTCCATCGAACGATATGCCCCCCCCGGCCGTCGTGG